CGTGACTGTTAGAATAAGATCACAACTCACATATGAATTTTGAGTTATGACATTAGTCGAATAGAAAATAAGTTTATAAATGCAAGAACGCACATTCAATATACTTTTTATTTAGCCACTATAGAGATGTAATGTCATTGAATTATTTAAATGTTAGTTATTTTCATCAAGAGAGTATGTCATACTTTATGGCGCTAGTATATCTTATTTAATTTTCCAAATTATCACTGTAAGTCTAAAATTAAGACAGTTCCTATTTTCGATTTTAATGGTATCTTGCACTGAATAGAAAATAATTATCGTGTGTATTATAATGTGAAACAGCAATTTTATAGAGTTGTGCAGTATTGCATTTTATAATTTGTCATAGTGCAGCCACAACAAAATATGAGACTGTATTGTATTTATTAATAGAATAGTTGTTTGCGCAAATTGCTCTATCGATTAACAATGTTATCATTATCAATCACATTAAAAGAATAAATTATGTTAATATCATTATCAATTGGTTATAATTGTTATTATCAATATCGTTTTTAGAGTAGTACCATAATGAATACGTTTTTATTATTTCAAGTTCTAAAAATTTAAATCATTATTATTTGTATTAATATTGTGTATTACCTAAAGTATTAAATGTCAAGATTCACTAGAAGCAAAATGTTAAATCTAGTACTAGTAAATAAATTACAGAATAATATTATGTCGTCTACAGAAAGTCTTACCAGGATATTAATTATGAAAATACTATAGAAACAGGTAAGTGATATTATATTCAGCTAATCCTAAACGTTTTAATAAAAGTAATCAAATATCTTTATACCTATTACCTTATATTATCTTTATATTTTAAATACTTTTAATTTCAAGTATTTGAAGCAGTAGGTATTCTAAATAGTAAATACTGGTTGTTTCTACATATTAATTTTGTGTGTAATAGTTGTTTTAAAGTTTTAATATAAATAATTGTTTGATTACATTTAAATAGTTTTAAGTAGCATCAATTATAAATAGGTATACAGTTCATAATATAAATATCTATCATTAGCCATTAGGTATATTTATATGTATACTATAATATTATTATAATATAGGTACACCTATAATAGCTAACAATACCAGTTATTGATTAAATCATTTTTAATTGTATAATATTATATACAAAATATTATTAACCAATAATTTTAATTAATTATAATATTATTGTTCAATATAGTAACATCTAAGATGAAGAAGTTGATATTACAAATAAAGTAGTATTGTTAAATGATACACCTTCAGTGAGACCTGAATATGAGAACAGTAAGTAGAAGTAACTATGCAATTGCTATTTATTTACAAACTATATAATTGTAATATTTTTAGAAGATTTATCATTGGAAACTACGAATCAAAACGAATCAGAGTAAATACGTAATCACTGAACGAAGTACAACAATATATTATACATCAATATTTTATACTTTAGACTTAAGCTTACAAAATACTTAGCCACGCCAATAACGTCTGTATAAATACTTGCATCATGTCATCACATTAAAAAATAGAGTTTTATATAATATACTACGGTAAGTAATAAATATATACGAATAACGAAAGGTATAGCGACTAACCCAGCTAATATATGATCGGGCGATTACAACGAATTGAATAACTATTACTTGCTCAAACGATTAATAATTTTTCAATACATTATTGCTTTTAACAATCAACTGTCGTTCAGTAAAATGATCGTGATTGATTTTCGTACGGTAAATTATTTATGATCAATTGACATACATCAATGGTAAGTAGTACTGTGTTGGTATTTGGGTTAGTTGAGATTTCATTCATAAAACGGTAAAAAAAAAAAATACAAATGTACAATACGTCGACTTACCGAATGTTGCCTCGACTTATTTCGCTTCTGGAAGAAATATTATGAACAGAATAACACCAAACAACAATCTATAATGAATTTAACCTGAAAAAAGTTAAATATTATTTATAAAGCTTTATTTTGATATATTGTGTCAGCATAGTCTTATAAATATAGAAACTGTACGTTTAAAACAACCGTTTTAGTGTTGTCAATTTTAATATTAGAGTAAATAGATCAATTATTATCAAACTGAAAGTTAAAAATATTATCTAGAAAACCTCATAGAATAGTGTTAATATTTTTATTTTAAAACGATGCATGAACATTTTAAAATTATAATGTCAATAAAATCATATGAAGTGCTTTAGATAATATCCATACTTTTAGATCTGATAATAGCTAGATCATCTGCATTATGAGCGCAAATTTGCTATATTGAACGTTTGACGGAGACAACACATGCGGGTTCGGCGTCCTCTGAAGTAGTTAGGTTAGTGTAGCTATGTTATGTGAATTGCATACAAATATATTTTCATCAGTAGCTACATTTTTATTATTTTATTAATGTGTTAAATACAAATTTATTAACACTTATTTAGCTGAGGTTGATCTCTTTATTTTGAAAATGCATGATCCATTCCATTATAATGTAAATAATTTATGGGATTGTCGAGCGTATTTAAAAGAAATAACATAATAAACAGTTTCGTACGTTTCGTTATATTCGAGAAACGAAAATTATTTTGTTTAATTATTTCAACATCTCCGTCATAGTAATTTAATGTGTATTAAATATGTAATATTATTATATAAGTAAATATTTATCATTCACATCAGAAGTAGTTACATCCATTGTGTAACAATATTGCATTTTTCAAGGGCATATTTTATGCTTTTAGAGGTCTTTTAGCACATTGAAATGATATCTTAAATAATAATAACTATATATTTTGAAGGATTAATTATTTGAAATTGAAACCTTTGCTCAAACACCCAAGTAAATATGAAATAAAAATAAATGATTAAAATATATGAAATAAATTACAAAATATATAATATATTGTTCAAATTTCTTTTATTAATAGCTGAGTTAACTTTGACATACCGTATAAAAGTAATACATTGTATACCACACGAATAAACAAAATTAAAAAATATGACAAAAAGTTTAAATTAATTTATTATAGGGTACCTACATATCCAATGAGTGATTAGATTTTACTGGATTACCAATTTCATTAATACCTGATAATGAACTTAGTTTTAAATTTTAGTATGAATTGAAAAACAAATAAAAACGTTTTTGTAACTTTTTAATTGAACTGAAAACTTGAATTTAGTTCTTTACAAGTTCAATTCTATAATACCTGAATTTTAATTTAATTTTTACTTTTCATGGAATACTATATATATATATGTGCATTGGAAACAAAGATTTATCTAACTATAATTTTGACAAGATTTAAAAGGTAAAAAATACTAAAATTAAAACTAAGATTATTTAAATTAAGGTTTTAAAGATAGTTTTATTTTTGGAAAAACATAAAAGGGTATACTGTATTGTAATAATATTACACATCCAAATAATTCATGCTAAATTTGAATAATGTAGTATTTTATTATTTTGTAATCAAGACAAAAAGATTAAATGCATTGTATTTTTTTGTATGAATACATATATTTATTAATTATCAGCATTCAAAATTTGTCACCTGCTATTACCTGTATTGAGGAAAAAAATTAAAAAGTTTATATTAAATACAATAAGGTGAGTTCATATTTAAATTATGCGTCTTGAAAAATTAAATTTATACGTTCCATATTATTTTGTATTCAACTAATTTACAGATATTTTAAATAATTTTATAAATAGGTACCTATTACCCAATAGTCTTTCTGACAAGAGCTATTTTAATCAATAAAATAAAAATAATAATATTAATAATATTATACACAATGTTTTTTATTGAAAATTACTTTTGGAGCTTTAAATTATAAACATTTATTTTATAAAATTACATTTGACACAACTATTATCAATTAAAAAGTCTTTCCAATTTTTATTGTTTATATTATTTATAGTTAACATGTTGAATTACTAAATATCTTCATGTTTATACATTCAGCATTGTGCAAAGAGTTAAGGTTCTATCATTAACAATCATGGTTAGTATATAATATATTATTATATTAGTTATTTATATACTAGCATTGTATAACGAACTATAATTACAACTTACAACTACTAATAAACAATATAATATGTTATTATCAACAAATAACAATACAGAGAAATAAGTTATAACTTTAAGATACAATAAAAAGCTATTGTAACTAATGACGTGTTGATAAGAATGTACTTAGAAACTTAAAATTGTGTTTATAAACTTATAATAAACTAATAATAAATTCCGCTGGGCACCTAGAGGTTGTCGTCGAGCCTTTTTACTACCTATGGCGTTATCTTTTACACAATGATAAAACTTTTTAAATACACATCTTTCTATATTTTTGAGTATGTTTAGTACCTATTCAATACGCGATAATATATATTTTCTAATTTTAAAAGAGACATGATACTAAATCCAAAAATCTTCACATGTTTTTGTTTTTCAGAACTAATAGCAAATAAGGTTGTCGAACTTCAAATTCTCGAATAGTTGATTTATAGGCATGCGCCATACTCGTACTGTCATTTTTGAATATTATATTGAAACATAATCTGGGCGTAATTTTTTATATTGACTACTGTTTGTACACCTTGAATACATTTTAAGTATAAATATCCACTGTGTAATATTTGTTCTAACTCTACTCGGCACATCCTTAAGAATCTATAAGTATCAAACAATTAAAAAATGCAGGATATGATAAATAAATTATTCAAGGAAAGAATAGGGAATGATTTGGTGACGGATGGAGATCAGCTCAATTTATCGTGTTTCAATATTCGTGAATATCATAGGAAACGACTAGAAAAAAAAAAAATAATAAAAATAATAAAATCAAATACTGCGTCGTATACTCGTATAACAGCGCACGTATATAATATTATGCCGCCGTAAAAACAAAATAGTTTTAATAGTAATACAAAATAATATCGACACAATGAAATGTTGAACAAAACTGGCGCCTTGTGAAAAAAAATAAAATAACAGTGAATGGTTATTGTGGAACCGGCTCGTAGGGATGGACGGTATACGCGTATAATACACAGGGAAAAAGTATACACCAAACGTACCCGACGCGGTACATATCATATAATACTATACAGGTATATATAGAGTCGGTACGGGTTTTTGTTCACGCTGCTTTGAGAAGCCACGTCGGAGAGGCCGCCAAAAAAAAAAAAAAAAAAAAAAAAAAAAAAAAACAAAAAAAAAAACCAAAAATTCCGGGGCCAAGCCGGTTTTGTCGAAATAATACGACGACGGCTGCGGTGTTGTTGTCGCGCGGCGGTAATATCATCACATTTCATCGTCCGCCGCCGCAGCCGTTGCCGGGTCGCTGTGCTGAGAACGCGGTATACAAATACGCGCGACGAGAAGCGGTAACCTCCCCACGGGTTGGGTACCTAAATTATGTAGTGCGCGCGAGAACTACTACGCGACACGCGCGCGCAGGTGAATGAGCCGCCGCCGTGGGAATCGCCGGCACATTTTTCTCCCGTCTCCTCCGCCGCCGCGCATATCATCATCATCATCATCATTATCGTATACTATCGTTTACTACGTGTATATTTTTATCACAGGTATCGCGTACACATTTCTCCGCCACACACCGCTCTATACGATTAATACTACGCTACGTACAACCCACCATACTACGTAGTAGATGCAATAATAATAATAATAATTTAATATTATATATAATAACTATATAATAAGATATGCGTAGTGGGTGTATAGTATGCACAATGCACGTGAGTTTTCGGCGGGCGCGCGGCCGTTCCACTCTTTCACTAGACAGTGTTCCATCTCGTTCGTCCGTCGTGCACACGCGGTCGTTTTATTATTATTTATTATTATTTACGAACGTGGTGTGTATAGCAGTGGTCATCGCCGCCGCCGCCGCCGCCGCCACCACCACCACCACCGCCACCACCACCGCCGTTTTTACGGGACGATCGCCTCCACCACGCCGCCGAGAGAAACGTGCGATGCGTTGGCGCGCAACAAACGTTTTCTCGTTTACGACGCGTCGTTTTCCCGCCAAGACGGCTGGCGCGCATAATAGTGCCTACTACATAACATACAATCATCGCCATAAGATACCAACAACGATATTATGTTGTATTACGTATACCTCTACGGCTATACTACTGCGACTTGAGAGGCGGAAACCGCATACCGTCCGGCGCGGCGCGGCGCACGTCGATTTGCAGCAAAGAAAAATTTCCGGTATAAAAGTCGATCGATTTACGTGTATTTTGCAGGTGCTCAACACTATGTAGATGATAAGGGTCCAGGATGCGAATGCTCTAAAATGTAACCGAAAATGCCAAATCCATTCAATGATATACGCTTTGTGCCCGTTGAAAATTGTCCGCGATTTTTTTGGTATATAGACACGCGCGAGCGAGAGGAAAACGATGGCTTGACTTTTGACCATTTTTTTAACATTTTTTTTTTTTTTCACCTTAAATTAAACTAATATGATAACACAGAAACCAACGATGCCGAATTTGAGCGCGCACTGTATCTAATTAAATATCCGTCGCATTATTGCCGTAGTCTATGTGCATATCTTGAACATTTTAAAACTCTAATATTTTTAACATACAATCAATTTTATTTCTTTGTTTATATTTTTATACTCGATTTAGATAATTTTATTGGTATCATTAATTTATAATTTTAAATTTTGTCAATATTATACAATTATTCTCATAAAATTTATAAAAATAATATTAAATTATATTATATTAGACTAAATTGAATTGCCCGTCGCATTATATCTTTAATTTCTATTTTGAGGATTTTTTTCCAACTATTATGTATCCAATATATCTTGTTCTCTCCCTCTACCCATTCGAAACTGACATTGACATATTATGACAACTAGACAACCACCAACTTACGTGGTTTTCCAACGTATATACG